TATTGTCCTATATGATGTGATCATTGCACATCTCTTTGTCTCTCAGTTTATGATAATTACCAGCCTTGATACATGTGTTCTGCATACTTTGCACTTGGGATTACAAAATGGCTCCTGCAACATTCCACTTTAGATTCTTTAGAGTCCATCAGTGAAGTATAAGACTGTTTTTCTAGAAATTCCAAGGGAAGAAAAATCACATTCCCATGGTTCTGGCTGTACCATGTTATACCTTTGAGCCAATCACAATGATTGATGAGTGTAAATCATGAGCACCCAAGCATTTTAATTGAGAATTGGGAGGAAAGAAATCCCCAAATAAAAATATTTATGTTTGAGTGATAGGGTCAAATTCCTTTAGACTCTAAAGAAATATCTATTACACAAATAAATTAATGATAATGAGGCTAGACTCAGTCATAACAAAATGACACAAAATTGTTCAGGCTTTTCAGAAAAATTAAGCCAAAGCCATTGTTTCAAGACAAATTGTCATTTATATGTGAAGGCAACAGAAATACATTCTCCGTTGTGCAACTACTTGTAAGAATATTCCACCTACTGATTGAAAATAATCACTCTAGTCAAACACTAAAATTACAAACTCAAGATTGGTGATAAATTTAAGTAAATGGAATTGTAGACTCTTCAACAGGACTACAAGGACTTGAACTGACCCATATCCCAATTCATAGCAAGAATCCTCAAGGGAAGTGCTACTTCTCCAAACTGTACCTGCTTAAAATCTTAAGACAGTGAACACTCAAGAATGTAACTAGCATATCTTTATGTTTGTGATGAAATTTATTTGAAGGGTAAAGACAAATCATTTGTTAACTGTTATCCCTCATGAAAATAACGCTATAATTGCATGGAAGAAATTGTTTTCATAGATCCTTTCCTGCAGGGGCAGTCTATTATAAGATTCCAATTCAGGCTGGAATATTTTCAAACTATGTATTTTTTTATTTATTTATTTTTGGCAGGCAGAGTGAACAGTGAGAGAGAGAGACAGAGAGAAAGGTCTTCCTTTTCGTTGGTTCACCTGCCAATGGCCACTGCAGCTGGTGTGCACAATCAATAGGTTCTAGTCCCGGTCGGGCGCCGGATTCTGTCCCGGTTGCCCCTCTTCCAGGCCAGCTATCTGCTATGGCCCGGGAGTGCAGTGGAGGATGGCCCAAGTGCTTGGGCCCTGCACCCCATGGGAGACCAGGAGAAGCACCTGGCTCCTGCCTTCGGATCAGCGCGATGCACCGGCTGCAGCGGCCATTGGAGGGTGAACCAACGGCAAAAAGGAAGACCTTTCTCTCTGTCTCTCTCTCTCTCACTGTCCACTGTGTCTGTAAAAAAAAAAAAAAATGGTAATGGTGACCACAGTTCATCTTCCATACAACTAGGGACATACGTGAGTCCTGGTTCCTAAGGGCTTCCCAACTCCATCTTGCAAAGCTCTCTCTATATTGTTTCTTTATAATTTTTCCTTTTAGACTCATAAGTACTGTGTGTGTAATTAGCAGCACTCTCTATATATACCAAAATTCAAAACAGTGTAAGTGTCTAAAAATAGGGGATGGGCAAATAAATTATTTTCTATGTTATGATAAAGATTATGCTCATGAAAAAATTGTATATCATAAACAATGTACAAAAAATTAAATGAAGCAAATAAAATGCATACTTGAATAATCCCGTTATCTGAGTTATATAAACAAATACTTGCAAGGAAAAAATATCTGGGAAGGAACTCAATAAAATGTTAATGGTACACAACAACATTTCATGGTAGATTTTGAGGTATATACATCTTTTCTATATATTATCTTTTAGAAATATAACTTTCTGATGAAAAATGTATTTCTGTTCATCTAAATGACATAAGAATTTTAAATTGTGGCCAAATTTACTAAAGATCATTTCTTTCTTCTCCAATAATACCACAAGGTATGAATTCCCAGCACATAGGAGGGAACTTCCAAAACTCCCCCAAAGAATAGAGTTTGACCTAGCAGTTGAGATGCCCACATCCTCTATCAGAGTATCCTGGTTCAATTCCCAGCCCCATTCCTGATTCTAGCCTCCTACTAATGGGTACCCTGAAAAGCAGAAGGTGATGATTCAAGTACTAATTTGTCCCTACTACCTATGTGGGAGACCTAGATTGAGTTTCCAGATCCTAGCTTTGGCCTGGCCCAACCACAACAGTTGCAGGCACTTGTGGGGTGAAGCAATGGATTGGAATGTACTCTGTGTGTGAATGTGTGTGTGTGTGTGTGTGTGTCTCATTTTCTTTCTCTCTCTCCCTCTCTCCCCCCTCTTCTATCTCTCTCTCAAATAATGTTTTGTTTTGTTTTTGTTTTTGTTTTTTTGGATAGGCAGAGTTAGACAGTGAGAGAGAGAGACAGAGAGAAAGGTCTTCCTTCCATTTGTTCATCCCCTAAATGGCCGCCACAGCCGGCACACTGTGATGATCCAAAGCCAGGAGCCAGGTGCTTCCTCCTGGTCTCCCATGCAGGTGCAGGGCCCAAGCACTTGGGCCGTTCTCCACTGTACTCCAGGCCATAGCAGAGAGCTGGCCTGGAAGAGAGGCAACCGGGACAGAATCCGGCGCCCTGACTAGAACCCGGGGTGCCAGCACCACAGGCGGAGGGTTAGCCTAGTGAGCCACGGCACCAGCCTTAAATAATGTTTTTAGGAGGAAGAGCATTAATAACTCATGAGTTATTATACTTCTATTAAAAATTATAGAAAATTCACATTATCATTAAATTCCATTTTAAAAAATGAACTTTTGCAGCCCACTCATGCTTTGAATACACACACAGGCATACATTAGGACTTAATGCAGCCTGATTTCTTACTGTAATTCTTGTAAACATCTTGCCAACTCAAGCTTTTATTTGTCAAAGCACAGTGATGTAGGAGAGTATATGAAACTAAGGATCTTTCAAAGTCTAATTCCTGGGACTGGCACTGTGGCACATTGTTTAAGCTGCTGCATGCAGCACCAACATCCCATAGGCGCACCAGTTCATATCCTAGCTGCTCCACTTCCAATCTAACTCCCTGCTAACATGCCTGGCAAAGCAGTGGAAGATGGCCCAAGTGCTTGGGCCCCTGCACTCATGTAGGAGACCATGATGAAGCTCCTGGCTTCAGCCTGGCCCAGCCCTAGTTGTTGTGGCCATCTGGGAAGAGAACCAGTGGATAGAAGATCTCTCTCTGCCTCTGCTTCTCCCTATTGTAACTCAGCCTTTCAAATAAATAAGTTGTTCCAATAAATTAAAAAAAGAAAACAAAGATTAGAAAAAAAGTCTAATGACTACCCAATAAACTGTAAATCCTCAAGAGCAAGAACTATTTCATTGAGATTTGGATCTCAATTTATTAGAGAATTTTTCTTTTAAAAAAGTGCTTTATGTAATAAATGAACGAACAAATGAACTAAAGAATGATTTTAGAAAGTTCTGCATTTGGATTATTTTGTTCACTTATTTGTTTCAGATAGGCATTACTTAATGGGCGTTTTTAAGACGTGACAGGAAGTTTCAGGACATCGACTGAAAGGATTTGGCCCATGCTTGTTTGGTGCTCCGCTGAAAACAGTATCATGCAACATTCAGATATGACTCAGAGATTTCAGCCCTCTGCACATAATGTTTCTCCTTTATTGTTTTCGAAACTCTTATTAGATGTGCACTTCCACACCTATTTTTGGCAGGGATGCATGTGAAGGAAAAAGGGTTTTTCCATGATATGAATGACTGCTTCATAGAGAGAAGGTGACCTAATCTCTTTACTACCTCCCTCAGAGCAGGAATGAAGGGTAGTACTTTGATGTAGAGGCAATGAATGGACTGTTAAACAGGAAGCAAGAGTGAAATGTTACATTTCAGTGTTACAAAATGTCTATTTATTCTGAGAAAGATGCACATAGAATATAGGCATAACTCAATACAGCAAAGGGCCTTCAAAAAGTTCATGAAAAAATGTGTATTATGAAAAAGTATGTACATTAAAAAATTTGTACCCAACTTTTAATTTTGAAGTGTCCTCATATTTTTGTTCCAGAAGAAAAAAAAATTACACGTGTGACCAATATGGTGGAAATTTTTGCCCAATATAAGAAATGTGACTAGATTTCTAAAAAGTAATGGTTGATAGGTAAAAAGGAGTATAATACTATAAATGACCTTCAAAAAAGTTCACATGATATTCTCTAGATGAATATATTCTAAGATAACCAGAAGAAATTGAACTCCATGTCACAGCATCTCTGTGTTTCAGAATGGAGCCAGATCAATAAGTGTGAGCTGCCCTTCCAGCGTTCATGGAACAGATTTTTCCGTTCCCTGTATTTGTACATTTCTTGGAGTTCAACTCATTGAGTTAAACATGAGCAGTATATAGGTCAGTGTGATGTAGTTTCAGTTATTTAGAAAAGTAATTCACAATCATCTATAAAAATTTACAAAATCATTTGCTTTGATCTATCAAACCCACTTTGTGAAGTCTGTTCTACAGAGATTAAAAGCACCAGAAGTTATGAATATATGATAAAATAGTTATTTCAGGGCCGGTACCACGGTTCACTGGGCTAATCCTCCGCCTTGCGGCACTGGCACACCGGGTTCTAGTCCCGGTCGGGGTGCCAGATTCTGTCCCGGTTGCCCCTCTTCCAGGCCAGCTCTCTGCTGTGGCCAAGGAGTGCAGTGGAGAATGGCCCAAGTGCTTGGGCCCTGCACCCCATGGGAGACCAGGAGAAGTACCTGGCTCCTGCCATCGGATCAGCGCAGTGCGCCGGCTGCAGCGCGCTGGCCACGGCGGCCATTGGAGGGTGAACCAACGGCAAAGGAAGACCTTTCTCTCTGTCTCTCTCTCTCACTGTCCACTCTACCTGTCAAAAAATAAATTAATTAATTAATTAAAATAAAATAAAATAAAAAGTTATTTCAGTACAGTCTGTTGTCACCAAAAAAGGCACAAGTAAAGCCACTTAATAAATTGTTGAGCAACTATTATCCCCAATTTAAGGAATATTATGCATCTGTATGAGGAATGGAGACTTTAACACATAAAAATGCTCCTGATATACGATAAAGATGAAGAAGTCAACAAATTAAGCATATGCATACCAGGAAATGCAAACTGTATTCACCATTTAGCAAATCTAAATAAAGTTCAGTTGCACAGTGATCAAATATCAAATGTCTTCTCACCAAGTCAGACAGTTTGTAAAATCACTTTTCTTTGCCATAATTTCTTCAAAGCCCTTTTCAGCTCACTGTTTCGCAAGCTGTAGATGAGTGGATTCAGCAGAGGTGTGAGCAGTGAGTAAGCCAGTGACATCAGCTTCTTGGTTTCTGGTGAGTAGCTGGATTTGGGTTGTATGTAAGTCATATTGGCCGTGCCATAGAAGAGGGTGACAGATGTGAGATGAGAAGCACAGGTAGAAAAGGCCTTTTGTCTCCCAGTACTTGATGGCATCTTCAGGATGGCAGAGAGAATTCGAATGTAAGACAAGAGAATCAGTAAGAAAGGAACTGTAACGATCAAAATAGTACCTGTGAAGGCATAGATTTCAAACAGGAAGGTATCTGCACATGTGAGCTCTAAAACTGGGGGAGTTTCACAAAAGAGATGGTTAATTTCATTGGGGCCACAAAAGGGGAAACTAAATACCCATGTGGTCTGCACAGTGGCCACCAGAATTCCTGAGACCCATGAGAACACGACCAGTTTCCTAAAAACGCATCTGTTCATAATCATTGGGTAGCTCAGAGGATGGCAGATTGCAGCAAATCGGTCATAAGCCATGACTCCTAGGAGGAAACACTCAGTTCCACCAAAAAGAAGAATGAAGTACATCTGTGCAAAGCAGCCCGCCAAAGAAATCGTGGCCTTCTCAGCAGAGAGGACCACCAGCATTTCAGGCACAATGACTGCACTGAAACTCACCTCCACCACAGACAAGTTCTGGAGGAACAGGTACATGGGGACGTGGAGGCTCTGGTCCAGGGAGATGACAACTATAATGATGACATTTCCTACCAGAGTCACCAGATAAATAATCAAGAAAAGCCCAAAGGCCTGCTCTTGGAATTCAGGGAAGTTGAAAAACCCCAAGAGGATGAAGTCAACCACAGAGCTTTGATTCTGTCGTTTCATTGCCATAGGGGAGCCCAATATTATTTTTATGGTCATAGCATATAAAGCATGAAGTCACAGTCCAGGAACTAAGAATCCGAGTTTGGAATTCTTGACAGGTGATGTAACGACATATTCTTGACAGAAGAATGGCCAACAGCTTGTAATAGTGATTCTTTAAAATGTAAATGAAGAAGTGAGGAATTTTAAATCAGAAAACCTGTTTTAAAAGCACAAAATAACAGCAAGCATTCTTTTGCTACTTTTTTTGCTATGTAGAAAATTAAAACATACAAAAACGTGTCATTTGGAATCTGTTGTCCATTTTAAGGCATACATATCTGAGTTTATAATATTAGATATTTATATATAAATTTAAAATAAGGAGTTTAAAATTATACAGCTAGAAGAAATATAGAGAAAATATAGAACTAGTAATAATTCAGAAAGCAAACATACTTTGATGAATATTTATGATAAATATCAAAATTCAAAATGTATTCATATTACTTTAACATGGACAATAAAAATAACACATCCAAATGGAAATAGAAGCATTCAAATGGAATTAAATGTTTGTTGCACTTATCTTAAGTGAGCATACATAAATTGGCTTCAAGCATTTTGATTTTTGGTCAGGCTGATCCTACCTAATTATATTGAAATTTGCCTCCATAGGAAAATAGAGTGGTCGGTTTATGCTTGTGACAATAAAATCAGAACTATAGAAACTACTATTTAGAGTCTTTCTGATCTTGTGGTTTAATATCTCTCTCTCCCTCTTTCTCTCTCTCTTTCTCCACACACACATACCAATATCAAGAATTTCATTAAATCATTACTCACTCTGAAACACTGATTGGACATCTACCACATGGGAGCCCTGTATCATTTACAGATAAATGTGAGCCATAAACTCTATAGGGAGGTTGTACCTGACCACACAGCTTACAGAATCAGCCCCTACCCACTACCCTAGCACTCTCTGACACTAACCTTCCTGGTTTTGTTTTTGTTTTTGTTTTTTTTTTCTAAAACATTCGTCACCAACTAAAATAACATGTATTGATTTAAGGTGTATGCTTATTATCTAGCCTTCCCTTCTAGAATGTAAACTTGAAGAAGACAAGGACTTTGTTCTATTCTTTGCTGCACTCAGTGACTAGAACAGATAATAGATATCAAAGATTACAAACCAATATTTATATTTATAGGATTGATGGGGTAATAAATACTAGAATTAGGAAATCCTGGACTCTACTATTAAGGAATATTGTGTCTGAAGGAAAAATAAATCAAAGACAAGAGAATAGAGAGGGGTCATGCTTAATCCCTGGCTTTTGTAGACATTTGAGGCTCCATGGGGTTGGAACTACCACTGGATTGGGAGCCAGTCCTGACTGCCACCCTCTCCAAGATGGGTCTCTGCCTCTCTGTGTACTCATATTCCCATCTGTATGGTTAGAAGCAGCAAAATAACCCTGGAAGTCCATTTTGGTTCTGATTTGTTGAAAGAAAACTTCAGGCTGTCGTGCCTGTGCTCCATGCAGTTGGAAAGCGGGCTGAAGGGAAGGTGGCATGGTGGTAGTGAACACTTAGGGGCACACATGCTGCCCAAGTCTCTTTGTGCCAGGCAGTCCTAAGCAGAGCTGAGAGTTTTCCTCCCCATCAGCTATTCTTCAGAGCACCTCTTGGGACAAAGCACTCTGCTCTCCATACCATCACCCAAATCAATTCTCCCTGTCCCCAGCATTCTGTTCACTGCCAGAGCCCACAGGTCTCTACAATCAGGAACCCTCTCAGCAACTCCATCCCCACTGATGTCGCACCAGTCCACTGCCTCATTTCTTCCTTCTCCACTTCCCCCCACCATTAAGTGGAATCCTGACTTGGCTTCCCATATTTTGTACCTGCTCCAATCTGTACCTCTTACTTTTGTCAAAATAATCTTATCTTCCCTCCCAGAATCTTAGGGGTCTCCACTTACCAGTAGAATAAAAGTCCCCTTTTTCAAGCTGGCATTTAAGGGAAACCAGAGTAGTAACTACATTAGAAGTTTAAATGGGGGAAGTTACTTATGAATGGAAAGAGAGGGTGAATAGCCACGGCCTCAGAATGGGATGGGTTGGAAGAGCCATAAGGCAAAGGAGAAAAGTCTCAAGTGGAAGACTACCTTGCCCAGATCAAAGGTATTCACTGACACCTTAGTACTGGAATGGAGGCCTACTGGCCTTTGTGTGATGTTTTGTAAACAAGCAGAATTTCAGTGTGGTGCATAGAAGCCAAAGGACATAAGAAAATAGCAACCTGAAGACATGTAATATTTGAGTTTAGATCATTAGGCCATTAGCAAAGAGTAAAAGGAAGTTGATGTACTGCATATGACCACAGTGATATATTAAAACCAAATATCTATTTTAATTATAAAATATTTTACGAACTGGCATTGTGGCATAGCATCACAACCCCAGCATCCTATATCAGAGCGTTTGTTTGAGTCCCAGCTGCTCTGATTCCAATCCAGTTCCCTGCTGCTGTGCCTAGGAAGGTAGCAGAAGATCACCCAAGAACTTGGACCCCTGCCACTCATTCAAGGAAACCAGGATGCACTTCCTGGCTCTTGGTTTTGGCCTGACCCAGCCCTGGCCATTTTGACCATCTGAGTAGTGAACCAACGGATGGAAGAGCTTTCTTTTTCTGTCCATCTCTCCCTCTGTCACTCTGCCTTTCGAATAAATAAAATAAATCTTTATGTATATATGTATGTCAAAGAATCTCCTAAAACAAATACAATAGATCCTGTAGGGAAAAAAATTAAAGTATCATGTCTAATAAACAAAACTATATATTCAGCTTCACATGTATAAAACTAAATCTGTAAAATAAAATTTAGAGTATCTTATGAAAAATATAGAACTGATAAAAGAAAGTTATGGGAAAAACGTAAATTACTGCCTTCAGTGATTAAACTAACCTGAATACTACATCCTTTCCTTTTAATATGAAATAAGCTAAATTTTACTAATCTACTGACATGTTCTACTGGCTATGGTAGTAACTTTCTCTCTGACCTTAGGCAAACACCTCCCTCCTTTAGTTTCACTTTCCTATATGATTGGCCTCATTTCTGACCACCCTAACCCCATCTTATCTGTGTACCTTTTTGAACTAATTATTCCTGCAAGCAAACCACCTATATCTCTAATCATTTCTCAAATGTTTATGTGAATATAAAAGGCAGAGCAATTGACTTTCTTACCTGATTTTTGAGTTACAACTTTAAAATTACCTCCAGTTATCAGTGAGAAAAATCTATAAATGATAAATACCCTAACTGGTACTCAGGCAGAATCTTTAGTTCTGTACTATTTGCTACCCATGATTTTCATCTCATTTAATCGGTTGTTCACCTCTTCAGTTAAAAAGCAGTCCTATAAATGCAATCCAGTGATCTGATACATTGATCTTATAACATTACATGGCACTGAATTGCATGCCCTGGGAGTAATCTCCTCTGGAGAACTTATGTTCCATTTACACCGACTTTCCTCTGTGGAGATAAGAAAGCTCAACTGTGCAAAGTGGAACAGCACTCCAGGTTTCTACAGGGAATAGGCCCCTCTTCACACCAGAGGCTCAATTCCACCGTGGCTTCTCCCACTAAGGTAATGAGAGCAGAGACTGAGTGAATGTTAGTAATGAGCGCATTGAAGAAGGAAGAGAAATGGTTGTGAACAAAGGCAATATGAACAACATAGATTTTTTTTTTATTGTTTCTTCAGGATTTTCTACAAAGACAATCATGTCATCCATGAACAAAGGTAGTTTTATTCTTCTCTCAGAAACAGTATACTTTTTATTTCCTTTTCTTGGAATATTGCATTGCTAGGATTTCCAACATGGTGGTTCTTGCCTTGTTCTTGACCTTATGGAGTAAGCAGCTAGTTTCTCACAATAATGTATGATTTTAGGACGTTTATAGATGTTCTTTATAAAACTGAGCAAATTTCCCTTTTTTCCTATGTTGCTGTGTTTTTATCATGAGTGGATGTTAGATTTTATCAAATGCTTTTTTCTGCATCTATTAATATAACTGTATGATTTTTTTCTTTAACTAGTTGATGTGGTGTATTACAGTACTTTATTTTCAAATATTGAGCTAGCTTTGTATACCTGAAATAAATCTCACTTGTTTGTGATGTATACTTCTTTTTAAACATTGTTGGACTCAATTTACCCAACATTGTTTAAAACGATAAAAACCATGAATAGTTAATTCACAAGAAAGGTTATGTTAAATGTTCATCATTACTCATGGAAAAAATGTAAATTAAAGTCATAATTAGATAACACACTATACACAAACCAGAACAGCTAAAGTGAAAAAGATTGACAATCCCAAGTGTTGGAAAGGATTTGGAATAATATGAACACTGTACAGAGTAGATTTTTATAACCACCTTGAAAATTGTTCATCTTTATCATATAAAGTTGAAGCTGTGCCTACTGTGTGACCCAGAAATGCCAGTTCTAGATGTATCCAACACAGATGAGTGTTTATATGCATAAAAAAATTAAAAATTATCATTCCAACATTATTTGTGATATATAAAAACTGGATGCTAAGAGAAAGAAGCTAAGACATAGCAAAACATTTATGTCTATTTTAAAAATGGATGAAGCTAAATTATATATGTATCTAAATGCTTTCACAAGCCTAACACACAAAATGAACTCTAAAATGTGTTAGTTTTTATTGTCATTGCTTTGGTTACAAGTAGTAGCAGTAGTTTGGCAACTCTAGTAATAATACTAATAGTAGCAGCAGCAGCAGCAATAATTCTTAGTTTCATTATTTCCCTACATTATAAATGTTGCTATTCTCATTTTATAAATTTTTTGGAAATGGTAAAAATTTCCAAATTGGTTGGAAATGGTAACTAATTTGATTGAGGAATAAAGCTAGAAAGTGACAGCTCTAGTATTTGGAACCAGGTATTTTTTTTTAAGATCTATTTATTTGAAAGATAGAGTTACAGAGAGGCAGAGGCGGAGAGAAAGAGAGAGAGAGAGAGAGAGAGAGAGAGAGAGAGAGAGAATCTTTCATCCACTGGCTTACACCCCAAATGGCTGCAATGGCTGGAGCTGAGCCAATCTGAAGCCAGGAGCCAGGAGC